CTTCTTAGCCGTTCTACTTTTTAGCTGTTCTATTGTAGCTTCCTTACTTTCAGCTGGATGGTACATATAGCGTTGGTTTTTACTACTGCTAAGATTTAACGGTTTCCCTATTATTCGAAGCGCGTTTACTTATTAAGAAATTTTCTGAGCACGTTTTCAGGTAGGATTCTTCTTTCTAAAGAAAGCATTTATGTACATTAAATATGCTGTGAAAATAAGAAAGGCATATATGTCCGTCAGTAATCAAAGCAGCTTTTTGATTTGATAGACCTGTTCTTGGAGGGATCAATGTAATGGATGAAGGGGAGGAGGGGGGGACTTCCGGCAATTCCCTGAACATTTTGCATAAAGCATGGATAGATTTTACAAGTCATTCCTACTCTACGATCGCAGATGCTAAGTGATATCAGTAGCAAAATTTACCTCTAGTAAAAGCATTGCGGTTTTCTTCACTGACCTCGAACCTCTAATGCAATTTCACTGTTTCACTTTTCAGAAGGTCATTGCGTCCTTGCAGATCCCAAATACCGTGATTCATCGATTTATACGGTACTCTACTAGTGAGGTACCTGCATTTCAATGTTTCCAAATACCGTTAAGCATTTGTTCCTCCTTGTTAACTGTCTGACTGAATTGCAGGCACAGTGGTTAAAATATATCTGTAGAACCACAAATTACATCTTATTCGACCGATTTTAGTCAAATAGCTACACGAGAATTGTATCCGAGGTCTTTTTTGATAAAGGTTGACATGAGTTCATTGTTCTTGTCTACATTTGGTTTTTTTTTCAGAAGACGTTGCAAAGCAGTTGGCCGATTTAAAGTTTAAATTGCAAGAAGTTGAGCGTGAAAATTCAAGCCTACAGGCGAATGTAAGTTAAAGCCTTATGCTCGTGGCTCTTGTTTAACACTGTATTTTGCAGGTTGTGAGATTAGAATCTCACGTTAAACGATACAAAACGCAGGCGGAACAGGCAGAGAAGGACGTCGTAGAGTTGAAACAGGCAAACAGACTATACAAGAAGGAGGTATGTATTTGTCTTTCGCGTGATTAGCTCGTTTTGCTTTGTCGTTCTTTGCAATGTGATTTCTTAGCGGTTGCTTAAAATTTGAGTGCGAAATGGAACACGCACAAATCAGGTTGCTTTCACTATTGCCTTGCAAACATTATCACTATCACTATCATTGTCGTTATTTAGCGACTGATTGTCAGCTATTTTTCAATGTTGTTCACTGTTACGATGTTGTTGTAACACTTAATTTGCAATTACATCCTGACCTGTGAATGGTTGCTGTTACCGGCACCTGAAACTGTTTGCAGCTACAGATTATAGAACATGTTTGATGTGTGAGATTTACTGCATTTTCAACCTTTTCTACAAGGCGAAGCCAAATTTCTTTAACCGACCCCTTCTGAACTTCAGCTTTACCCCTCTTTTGATCCAAGCAAAAAATCTATTCACATCGTTGTTAATGCATCTGTTGGTTCGTGTTGCCGTCATCTTTGCTTCTTGGTTGACATCGACCGCGTTTCAGTTCTACACACAAATCTTATGTGCTGAGATGAAGGGTGTTTGTTCAACAAATTTCTCAGACATGATAAACCTCTATTTTTCCTGTCTCCATTTCTGCTGAAGGTACATGTACCCATAAGAAGTTCGCGTCGCTCTGCATTATGCCACTTTTTATCCTTTATTATGTCTCGCCGCCAACGTTGTGCGCTGTTCAATCGTAATTATTGGCTTTTCATTCAAACAACGTTTCTGTGGCGTATAGCAGGCATAACCAAGAAGGCAAGATACATTTGGGTTTTTTTGAATAAGAATTATCATGTTTCATCCGAGCATTGAACAAGTTGCCGAAATGTTTAAAACTTGATGCGTCCTGTTTAACTGACTCACTGGCACCGTCGCTATGATGATAGAATAGATGTATCTTTCTACCAAAGTATCAACCTATTCTACCTTTTTGTAAACTTTTTGCACCGGTGGCTGTTGTGGCGGAAGTATTTCCCAGTCATTTTTGACTTTTATAGCTCAAGGAAGAAGTTGGCTTTTGCTGCAATGTAGTAGGCCTGCGGCTGCTAATACCGGTACGGTCTTTACGATGGTGATCGTCGCAGCTGACCTACTACATGACTGAATGGCTTGAACTGCATTGAATTAATTAAGGCTGTATTTGCGCTATAGTATCCTCAGATTTACCTAGACTCGATCTCACTCAGACTGAAACTGATCTCGCGGATGAAACCCTAAGCTTAGTGTCAATGAAGGTTTATCATTCAAACGAGCGCTGCTACACGAAGCCTGAGCGGGGGGTGACCCCACAGGTAGTTTACCACCTTGAGATTCCAGACCTTTGTTGACCCTGCTAGAATGTAGCTGTATTCTTGCACTCATTGATTTCGTACTAATCTGTTTAAATGATGAGTATGCATTTTTAAAATGCTAACTTTATAAATTTAAGGGGTTAGCATATATCAGTGACCGTAAAGCTGCTGCTGACTTGAGCATTGAAAGTTGACTTCGGCAAGGTAACTCACCCTAGACTGGTTACAGAGTAGAGATCGAGCGAAGAGCATTCTACTACTTGGCTTAACTGTGCTGTTGTCGCCTACGTTTGATCATATCGAATTCTTCCGGGTAGGCAAGGGGAAATTTTGAGCAGAAAAATATGTTAATAGTCTCCCTCTTGTACGTACACAACAACCATTTAGGTGCGGTGCTGCACTCTTAGGGGATCACCTAGCTAGGTCGTTAACTGGGGGAGTAAGAGGAGGGCTTGAAGTTCTCCTAGGCGGAACCGACAGCACCAGCAGCTTGACCCTTGGGATGCCACTGAAATACCTGGTCTTTGGCAGGAAATAGGAGCTGGTTGAAGAGGCAGAGTGCTACCACCAACTGGATATGGTTGTAATCTGCAAATCGCCGCAGTTCTAATATCTTTGACTGTCAATGCAGATGGAAATTTTTGTGCTCTGGAGCTCATGCAGCTATGCTGACACACTTCTGATTGGAATACTATGTTCTTGAATGGTTCTCCTGGGAGGAAGAGCTCCTGTGATAAAACTCAAACAGCTGATTCTGACTGTGGTGAAAGCTTTAGCATTTACTCTACTGTCACACTGCGAAACCTTCCCGGGAAAAGTCAGCGTTCCCTTAGAAAGGGTAGCTGACACGAAATCCACACCGTGGTGGACTGTTTAAGGTACATGTCGCAACTGTCAATCAAAAATGCAAAGGTATGTTCAAGAAGCATGACGGTCCCAAAATATGAGCTCAAATTTTGCCAGTTGTTGGATTTCTGCTACCCTACGGCCCTGTCCATGGTGAGCAGCTTCCAACACCATGATGTCCATGAGTATAGTTGATATTATGATATTTTTGAGCAGCGATCTTTGGCTGACCAGTCATAGTTTCACCTTGCCGGTTTCCTTGAAGGTGATGTCCGGATGAAACTGGTTGCTTAACTGTAAATAGATTCTGTCTCTGGGCTGCGCTTTTAAAAATTTGTGGCCAACCATACGACCGGTGGACCGAGTTTCTCTCCGAATAAAGAGGAGAAGCTGGAAGATAGTGATGTGATGAAACAGTTTATGCAAGACATCGACGACAGTGTTGGATACCTTTCAGTTCTTGTACATACAGACGTTTGTGGGAGTTGTTAAGAGCAACCACAGATGCTTCAGTGTCATCCTGTTTGGAGTAAATAGGTTTTTTATCGCAACTTGCTGTCCATGGATTGAAACCGGTAGTTAAAGTGCATTCTATAGTTTGAAGGTCGCCAACCTGGGACATAGTGGAATGATGTGATCATTCCTTCTAATATGAATGCTGTGATTCGTTTGTCGTAGTTTGAGTCAAGTGCCATTTTCTTAGATTTTCCTTAAATGCATAGAAGTCTGTCAACCCGTTAGCGCGATTACCTCTTGATTAACAAATCTTTTCAGGGATTCAAATCATGACAGGCTTTAACGTGTAAAGGAAATGCTCCGTTTTGGCATGCGATCCCTTAGTTTTTCTAATCCTCTTTCGATGCATAGCAGAAGTTTTAGCTGCTTAACATTGGTGGGATCCACTGGTCACGCGTGACTTTGAAATAGAAATATTATTGACAAAGTGCAGTTTTGGTTATGTAAACGTTGAAACTTCAACGTAATTTTATAAATTGAAATGCAGCATAAATACGGTCTTATTCCACATAACGCTATAATCGGTTAATCAGTTTAAATTTTCGAAATAGGTTTTTGAGCGTCACTTTAGAAAGTAAAGTGCTAAAACTTTTGAACAGTTGAAAGTGGTATTAAAAGTGTATAAAATGAGTAAAATTCGAGAGTAACCTCATCAGTTTACTGTCAGAGGCAGCCATTCCTTTCTGACTTCCAAGGGAATAACTTCACTAGGTTTTGCCACTGCTTACGTTCGTTTGTGAAAGAGTTTCATGAGCTCTTTCTTAAGGCGAGACCAAAAACAAATGTCTTAGCTACGATGTCTCCACTTTTGTATAATGTAAGAACATCAGAAGCAGTACCAGACAGTATTAATCAAAACTGGCCGGTTCTAAAATGCACAAAAGTCACTCAACAACACTTATGTTCGGTAGTGACGGTGTCAGAATACAAACAACTTGTGCGACATGTTGAAAGAGCAGGTGTAGAAAGAAAAATACTCTCTTTCTCAAAGTGACTTCTGGTAACTAGTGACAGTTGTAGATAACCAGCTCCGTCGTTTGGGTCTTTATTTCAAGAGCCTCCTTCGGGGTATATACGACAGTCTTTAAGTTGTTTCCATTGTCTTCTGCAGTATATGGACCGTAAGGGGAGTTATTCGTCACCAAACCGTTGAAGCATTATCATTGACCGGAAACTTTCTGTACCGCTGGCAGTTCCCCAGCCGCTACAGACGACAGTTGCATTAACATCAGAAGACTCTTCTTTACTCTGAACAAGGTCGGCGAAATAAAAACCGAAATGTAGTTACTCCTCTGTAACATGATAGATTAGCTGTTTGCATTGTGGGCAGTAAAATCATGTTTCAGCTGGTTGTAGGCAGCGTAGTCACGTACGACGGCAATGCTCGTTTTTATAAACTTAAATATGCTTGAATATTTTGTTAGTGATTATGAGTCTAGTACAGTGAGAACAGTAGCAAGCGATAATATTTTGCTCAACGCCAAACTCTGCTTATCGATATTGGTTTTGATTAGTTTACCATCCGTTATGCAAAACCGTTTTATCCTTTCTTTCAGCTGCAATAGGTTAATTGAGTAGAGTTCTGGTTTTTTGCAGATTTCGTCCTACATGCATTTGTTGCGGTGCCCAGCATGTATTGGCGTTGATTCTGAAGCAGCCGTTTATTAAAGTTGAGTAAATTTCAAATCTGTATACGCGTTATTGCTCAATTCTAGTTGAACTTCTGTTTCAGTGTTAAGTTTATTTCTCGAATTTTTTTAAGTCAACCCTTTTTACTATATGACACAGTTGTTTAAAGTGTTACTACATACACAGGGGTAATTTACTTATAGACAGATGCATGTTCTTTAAAACAAGTCTGTCGATGTCTCCTAGAGCATCTAGGTTAACATCGACACATTAGATCTTCAGACATGCCATGGTTTTGGAAGCGTTTGAAACTGCGTGGCACTTTTTCTCAGTGCCGTAACCTACTATAAAAATGATGACTTGATGCTAATCGAAATTATCGATGCTTACTGTGTTTGCTTAAGACTTCATGTGGTTTTCTCTCCTTTATTAATTTTGCGTAATTATCTTTAATTTGAAATTTAATTTTCTTTATCAATAAATTGCATTTTTTAGCTTCGCGAAAAAGACAGCGCACTGGATGATGCTCAAGAAAGTAACAAACACCTTCAAAGCCGTTTAAAGAGGTTGCACCCGTCATATCGAAGTCCCCGGTGAATTTTTGTTACCCTGAAATAGACGAGTGTACTTCCTTTATTGTGCCTAAGCTGACTTCTTTGCTTGCATATGACATCGATATATGCTTGATGTTGGCATAGTTAAGATGTCCTTCCCGACTAAAGACATTTATGAGTTGTGGCTGCTTGCTCATAGAGTTTTATGCCGTTGTTACACTAACAAGTATTCTAGGTCTGTTGCTGCATTGCCCATCTTGACATAAATCATCGTTTTTCTCAGTGCTGTATGTTATTCGGTTGTTTTACTATTTTATAGCTATTTATGTTGAGTTAGGAATGTACACGCGTTTTGTATTTCACTGCATTGAGGCTATTCATTTAGAGTGTTTCTCCGCCGTGAATGATCGATAGAAAATGAAATGTTTTAGTTACAACTGAAGTTTGATGTGCTGTTAGTTTAACAGCTGAATATAGTGCACCCAAGTTTTAGATTTCAGATTGCCTGAAGAGTTCTGTACCTGTTTTTCTGTTATTTTCACTTTAGTTTGGCGCTGCTCTCTGTTTTTGTTAAAGTGAGGGTCGAAAAACATTCAGTAGCTTTTGCATAAACTTTGCGGCCGAGTTTCGCTTCGCTCAAGAATAGAAGGAAATTGGCCCGCTTACCTCTTCAAAGTGTTGGTTATATCAAAAGATGTAACTCTCTGCTGTTGTAAGATAATAATTGAGGGTTTTTTGGGACTGAAAGGGTAAGGTAATGAAACTTGATTCTTGCCAGGCTTATTGCTTGTAAAACACGAGTACGTAGACCAGAATGCGATGTCACTGAGTAAATAAAACA